AGACGGAGCATTTGTTAAAAACGAAATCACGTGGCTTCGTCTACGAGCATTTTTTCTTGACGCACAAAGAATTTGAAGCAGTAACAAATATCGCCAGATATAAATGAAGTGAAAACTTACTTCACTTTCTATTCGTATATGTGAGTATCTTTAAAAGTAGAGGTTTTAAAGGGCTTTTAAATTACCTCATTTCAACCAATACGTACGTGATCTGTTCTCCTCTGCCCCCCCCCCCCAGAGGCACAGCGGTATGTCTGCATTGTTTTTTTTTTCCACAACATTTCAGGACGCCCTTCATCTGATGAGTTTGTTTCTTAAATCACCTGCACCCCAGTGGTACAGCGGTACGTCTGCGGACTTACAACGCTAGAATCCGGGTTTCGATACCCGTGGTGGGCAGAGCACAGATAGCCCATTGTGTAGCTTTGTGCTTAATTACAACCTGTTCTCCTCTTACTAGTGTGCTTTTCGTCCAACATTCCTACCGGGTGAAACTATTGCAAAGTATTTCTTATGGAATTTGTTTATTAGGATTAATGATGTTTTCAAAACTTTCAGAAAACTGTACACTTTATGTCTTTCACAGGATGTTAGTGATAAATTAATTCAGTAAGTAGGCACAGAAAATTTGGAATGGATGAGCAAACATCTGCGCAAACTAACAGCAGCTTCAAATTAATATAATTCAAAACACTTTGCCTCAAATTAAGAAAAAATTTAAGATGATTCATTTTATCTTTTAATTTTTGTTTTCAAAACACTGCCTCAAATTAAGAAAAAATTTAATATGATTCATTTTATCTTTTAATTTTTGTTTTCAAAACACTGCCTCAAATTAAATATGATAATTCATTTTATCCTTCAACACTTTTTACGGCCCAATCTCGGTGACTCAACTGTAAGTTTGGGTGGCTTATAATGTTACAATTCGGGTTTTATCTCCACTGAGAGCACATTACAGATAGCCCATTGTGTAGCTTTTCGCTTAAATTTTTTTTATTTTAATGAAAAGCTAAGTAATTTCTATATTCAATGCTTTTTTAATTTACAAAGATACTGGATTTTTGATACAACATTATTTTTTGTCGAAGATGCTCCCCCAAATTAACCAATGAGGCCATTCCCCTACATTTGACATTTAATACCTATGAGCTATCTTGTAGCTTTGACAATCGTGATGGTTTTTTATCCATAGAATCGCTCTGTATCTTTTCTTGATACATTTCTTACACGTACAAACATCTAACACACAAGTTTATTCCTGTTATACGTTTACCATCATACAGGCTTAAGCCACAATGAGATTCTGATTTTTTTATTAGTCAATTGTTGTTTTTTAAAGCTGTAGGAAAACAAACAATAACTAAAAATGTGCCACAAACACAGACGCCTCCTCGTTTTGTTAAGGTTAAAAATAATATACTTTTTAACCTGACACTAGTTTCAGTTTATTAGACTTCACCCAAAGACATACACAGTAAGAATTAGTTAAATAACGAGTGTTAGTATCATACTCTATGTTATAATAGTTAAATAACGAGTGTTAGTATCATACTCTATGTTATAATAGTTAAATAACGAGTGTTAGTATCATACTCTATGTTATAATAGTTAAATAACGAGTGTTAGTATCATACTCTATGTTATAATAGTTAAATAACGAGTGTTAGTATCATACTCTATGTTATAATAGTTAAATAACGAGTGTTAGTATCATATTCTATGTTATAAAAGGCTATAATACCGCGCTTGAATGTATATATATTTATCACTTTCTATTGTTTGTAACTATTGTTATACACGTATATTTGTTACATCACGTCACGTGACCTTCGATTTAGAATGTTTTCGTTTACGGATTTACTGTTCAGTTAGTGATACCTGAAGAAGGGTATTGTATCCTCAATTATATATATTAACTCCTTAGTGGTTTGACCTACAACATACTTCTGTTTATCTTCTTATAATACTGTTCATACTACTGGCAATGATATTTTCAACACATGGACTAAACAGTCAGGTGAGAGACCCCTGTAGTTCAGGTGTAGTCATCCCTAACTTTGAAATGCAGCCAGTTAGTAGCACCCATTAGCCGTCTCTAGCTTTGAAATTAGCCAGTTAGTAGCAACCCTTAGCCATCCCTAACTTTGAAATGCAGCCAGTTAGTAGCAACCATTAGCCATCCCTAACTTTGAAATGCAGCCAGTTAGTAGCACCTATCAACACAAAGGCTTTGCCCGACTTTGAACCGAATAACGAGATCGACTGTCACTCTTAAAACGCACTCAGAGCCAGAGGCGTCGCTAGGTACTGGCACACGGGGGTCTATTTGACAGTGCCCCAAATCCCCAGTTGGTGTCTTGCAAAATCAGAATAGAAAACCAGGATCGATATTATACTGAAACGCCGAAAATTCCCGCGCCTATGGGCCCGAGCCCTGAACCTTTTAATCACCTAGCGACGCCTCTGCTCAGAACTGAATCTGTAAAACTTGTTCAGAGGCGCTTTTGCGCAAACCTTAGGCCTTCCGATCTGTGTATAAAACTTCCGAGACATTAAAATAATTCAAGGTGTAAATTTTTAAAATATTTGTTTATTTATTTATAAAAACTTGCGATTTATTAAATCAAACTCAAAACCGGAAACACACTTCACATCCTACCTTTTCTTAGGTATATATTTAAAATAGAAGGCAGCGTTAAGTCACGTAAACTAACCAAACTTACTTATCGTGTATTAAGTAGTGGATCTGCTCATATTCTCTTCACCTTACGCAACCTATTCAAATAAACTAGCTAGACCTCGTCATGTAACGAGTTATTTTAAATCAGTTCTGTTTATACGGGAGACGACTGAAGTAAAGTAATTTACGTTGACAAACAAGAAAAACCCGGAGTTTGAAACTCGATAAAGAAATGAAAAGTTTTATTATAATAAAGTACACACGAAGAATGGTGTACAGATTATATATATTTCTAGAACGTCAAAAGCGGTTTTAATCTACATTAAATTTAATAACGTTTCAGAATATATATAAAGTAGGTGTTATTTTATTATGAAGTCAGCTATTACTAACACGTGTAGTGGAAACAACATTAAATATTACCCCAACAGAGTATTTTGAGCTGATGTTAAATAATTTCAGTTAAAACTTTTTGCTCACACCGTCTAAATTTGTTTTCAGTGATTACTACTCAGTGCATATATTGTGTAAGCTCAAATGTGAAATTACGACGCTTGAATACGGGCGTAATGAAACTAATAATCCGTATTTTTCATAAAGTTTATAATACACTTGAGTACAATATCCACTAGCATCGCCGTACTCGTCTCAATAAACATACAATGGTTGGATAACTAATTAATATCTTACAGTGATTTAACGTTTACATAAATATAAATACAGTTTCGTAGTTCGTATATAACACACTGATTAATGCAACCTTCCCGACCAAATATAAAGTTACCAGAATGACTGAGCAAACACATAACAACAACAACATCGTATTTTATTCATACTCTGTACGATTCACTCTTTGGAATATTTTAAGAATCAAAATTAATTCGAAAGGATGGAGCTGCTACCTGGGTATTGGCATCGTTGTTTACTTGTTTTCGTGAAAGTCTTGAATTTCTTCTGCGTACAAGAAGAGCTAATATTTCCTCATTTTGCTTTCCATGAGTCATTTTGTTTTGTTTGATTCCGAGTTTAGACTTGCATTGTTCACAAATTGTGTAACCGTAAAAATTATTTAATACTACTTCCTTTAGAAATACCTTGTTGTCAAGTTAATTATAAACACGTGGACACCATAGTTGATTGATTGGACAACTGCATTCACGAGCTCTTTCACACTACCAGTTGAGCCAATTTCCTGTAAACAACTCTATGAGACATTCATCGCCACCTGTTGTGAGCTTCTGTAACTGATTAGTAATGAGAAGTATCGACTATTTTAATAGAACTTAAAACACATGGCATTGTTCATGAAAAGTAGATTAAACAATAAAAACCGTTTAGTGAGAGCTTTGTCCAGGTAGAAAATATTATAGCATTTTTATTCCTCTGTGGACAAACACATGCAGATACAAATTAATGCACTGTGATGTGGAGTTAACTACAGATATCCACTAGACACATTTAATCAAACTAGATGTGGAGTTAACTACAGATATCCACTAGACACATTTAATCAAACTAGTATATCTTATCTGGAAATAAATGATATCGTCTTAAAATATATACATATTGTTATTTTGTCAACGGAACAGTATTTCTTTGACTAGCAAAAATCGTATCGTTAAAAACAAAAGCGTCGCATTTAAAACCAAGTTTTAGTGATTTTCTAAATATACTAAACTTCTTATAGCTATTAGGCAGTACAAAGGTTACCAGGAGAGACATTTGAGAAGCTGAAGAGTGAATGTTAAAATATAAAAAAAACAACTACTTCCAATCTAATGTTTGAACTTTATCGAAAATACTTATCAGAAAAGTTGTGTCACGTTCTTGTTACAATATGTTAAAGTTGTGTCACGTCCTTGTTACAATATATTAATATGTGTCAGGTCTTTGTTACAGTATGTTAATAAAAGTTACGTCGTCTTTGTTACATTATGTTAATAAATATTACGTTACGTTCTTTTTACATTATGTTAATTAAAGCTGTGTCACGTCCTTGTTACATTATGTTAATAAAAATTGTATCAAGTCCTTGTTACAATATGTTAATAAAAGTTGTGTCATGTCTTTGTTACATTAGGTTAATAAAATATACGTCACGTCCTTGTTACATTATGTTAATAAACGTTACGTCCTTGTTACATTATGTTAATAAAAGTTTCGTCACGTCCTTGTTACATTATGTAAATAAAAGTTACGTCACGTCCTTGTTACATTATGTTAATAAACGTTACGTCCTTGTTACATTATGTTAATAAAAGTTTCGTCACGTCCTTGTTACATTATGTTAATAAAAGTTTCGTCACGTCCTTGTTACATTATGTAAATAAAAGTTACGTCACGTCCTCGTTAGATTATGTTAATACCACTTTCGTAACATCCTTGTTGTACTCCAGTTAAAATCTTCATACCGTCGTTCTGGTACTCAAGTTAACAAAATTGGCCTAGATCCGTTTTACATTATCTTAAAAACACTTTCCTATTATCCTTGTTGTATTCAAGTTAAAACTTTTGTAACGTCGTTATTATACTGAAGTTGATAAAGCTGTGCCAAATTAATTTTACATTATGTTAATAAAACTTTCGTAATGTCTTTTTTTGTACTCAAGTTAAAACTTTTGTAACGTCGTTATTACACTGAAGTTGATAAAGCTGTGCCAAATTAATTTTACATTATGTTAATAAAACTTTCGTAATGTCTTTTTTGTACTCAAGTTAAAACTTTTGTAACGTCGTTATTACACTGAAGTTTATAAAGCAGTGCCAAATTAATTTTACATTATGTTAATAAAACTTTCGTAACGTCGTCGTTGTACTAAAAGCTGTGCCAGATCCGTGTTGCTTTGAAGTTTTTAAAGACAAAAAATACGTTTCACCACACCCGTCTCCATCAGATCCACTTTTCGATTAACATAGTATTATCTTAGAATGCCCTTAACTTCAAATGCAAGCATTCGATTTAACGTAGAGAGCATAACTAGCTTTTATGCTAGCAAATGTATCGAGTGAGTCTTCCACATTGTCTTCAAGCACCAACCTCATTGTGAAGTTAGTTGTTCTTGTGACAGTTTTTATACCATAAGTTGACACTGATGCAAGGTGCACCAAAATGTGGCCACTAACTGATCAACATGGACTCCAGTTCTGAAAACACGGCGTCTAACGCACTCTGTTGTCGTGGTAACGAACCTAAAAAAACATAAAAACACTAGGTTACCAACATGTATAGATACACATATGACACCGGATACAGTATTATCCAAGAGTCGTAGCTTATGCGTGCATCTACTAACGAATAATAAACAATGCACATCTTCTAACGAATAATAAACAATACACCTCTTCTAATGGATAATAAACAATACACATCTTCTAATGGATAATAAACAATACACATCTACTAACGAATAATAAACAATACACCTCTTCTAACGAATAATAAACAATACACATCTACTAACGAATAATAAACAATACACCTCTTCTAACGAATAATCAAACAATACACATCTTGTAATGGATAATAAACAATGTACATCTTCTAAAGAATAATAAACAATACACATATTCTAACGAATAATCAAACAATACACATCTTGTAATGGATAATAAACAATACACATCTTCTAATGGATAATAAACAATGCACATCTTCTAAAGAATAATAAACAATACACATATTCTAACGAATAATCAAACAATACACATCTACTAACGAATAATAAACAATACACCTCTTCTAACGAATAATCAAACAATACACATCTTCTAAAGAATAATAAACAATACACATCTTCTAATGGATAATAAACAATGCACATCTTCTAAAGAATAATAAACAATACACATCTTCTAACGAATAATCAAACAATACACATCTTCTAACGAATAATCAAACAATACACATCTACTAACGAATAATAAACAATACACATATTCTAACGAATAATAAACAATGCACATCTTCTAAAGAATAATAAACAATACACATCTTCTAACGAATAATAAACAATGCACATATTCTAATGGATAATAAACAATACACATCTACTAACGAACAATAAACAATGCACATCTACTAATGAATAATAAACAATACACATCTTCTAATGGATAATAAACAATACACATCTACTAACAAACAATAAACAATACACATCTACTAACGAACAATAAACAATACACATCTACTAACGAATAATAAACAATACACATCTACTAACGAATAATAAACAATACACATCTTCTAACGAATAATAAACAATACACATCTACTAACGAATAATAAACAATACACATCTACTAACGAATAATAAACAATACACATCTTCTAACGAATAATAAACAATACACATCTACTAACGAATAATCAAACAATACACATCTTCTAATGAATAATAAACAATACACATCTTCTAATGGATAATAAACAATACACATCTACTAACGAATAATAAACAATACACATCTTCTAAAGAATAATAAACAATGCACATCTTCTAACGAATAATCAAACAATACACATCTTCTAATGAATAATAAACAATACACATCTTCTAATGGATAATAAACAATACACATCTACTAACGAATAATAAACAATACACATCTTCTAAAGAATAATAAACAATACACATCTACTAACGAATAATAAACAATACACATCTTCTAACGAATAATAAACAATACACATCTTCTAACGAATAATAAACAATGCACATCTTCTAAAGAATAATAAACAATGCAAATCTTCTAAAGAATAATAAACAATACACATCTACTAACGAATAATCAAACAATACACATCTTCTAATGGGTAATAAACAATACACATCTACTAACGAATAATAAACAATACACCTCTTCTAATGGATAATAAACAATACACATCTACTAAAGAATAATAAACAATACACATCTAATAACGAATAATAAACAATACACATCTACTAACGAATAATAAACAATGCACATCTTCTAAACAAAGAATGTTAAAATGTAGCTCTAATATAAACCGTCCCACCCCGACTTTATATCGGCTGTGGTTGTCACCAGGCTTGCTGATTTGTATATTCAAAACCGTCTTGATATGTACTAAGTAAATTAACGTAAATATCCCCAAGAAATGAAAAAAAAGAGTTTGGCACCTCTAGTTTAAAGCTTACTACCTAAGTCGTTAATTCATATGCTCACCAAGATAGAAAATGTATCACGATCTACCTGTTTTTTTATTGTTTTATTTGTTTTTCTGCACTGAATTCCTGAAAGGAAATTACCTCTACTTCAAGACAGTTCTTCACCACGATTCTAAAAGAGCCACACTGTCGGTTTACTGTATGTATATCTGTACTTGAGGAAACGTTTACATTCAACTTAGTTTGAGCATTGTTTTCATTTCCTCTCCAGATTCCATCTTGAGGTAATCAAAAACATTTCTAAAAAGTTCCACATAACGAACTTAAAGTCAGTGCACATTTGGCTTATTTTTGTTGAATGGATTTTAAGAATGACAATTATGTTTTAAATTATTTAAGAAATACGATCTGTTTCATTAAGGACAAAGTTGAACTTTAAAACTAGAAATTTTGAAGATGTACGTTATCCATTAGAAGATGTGTATTGTTTATTATTGGCTGTTATGAAGTTATGTGTTAGGTGACATCGGTTGAAGTTTAGAGAGTTCGAGAAAGGGATTGAGGAATAAAGTGTTCTAAGTCACTGGAAAATGATTTTAGTGAGCGAGTTAGCGAGTATGGTTATGAAACGTTATAATCCAATATTCGGGAAACAGGTGCAAGGTCAGATAGAAAGGGACCGGTCTGGCGTGGGTTTGAGAGAGGGATATAAAAGACAGATCTCAACTCCAAGTTGAACTGTCCATTTTTTTGTGACCATGTACCTGTTTCCCTTATATAACCATTGAGGTATTGTAGTATCCATATCGGCTCATCTTAGAAAGGCGACCAATATAGCCACTCATTCCAACAATTTTTTACTGACTTAGGCTCTTATAGTATTGTAACCCCCTAATTCCTTAGAGACTGACCAACGGCTGGCCGCTTTCTCACACTCTCTAAACTGATGCTACCTTACGCCTAACTTCATAACACTGGAATGTCGTAGGTAATGTGATTGCCACCGAAAAGTGATCGCTTTTGGGAAAGACATGCAATAACCCTTTGCGACGCAAAATATTCCCACATTTAGATCTCAAATATGTGTTAAGACTATGGAAATAGAAAATCCAAGACAGAGGTATCACATTTACTTAATGGCATTAGAAAACAAAGAAGTATCGATCAGCTTGGGAACCATGATCACCCAGAAAGAGATCTGTATCAAGTTGTACCAGCCATGATAGAAAAAAAAAGGAACAGCATCTTGGTGCAGGTGAAAATCAACAAACACGTTGGTCAGTGGCAAGTCATCCACGTTTCTCAGATAACAGTACTCAACATAACCAAGAAGGGTCTTCTCTCCGTTTGTAAACGAGGTCAATAGAGCATGGGTTCACCAAGATAAGGCTTTTAGTCATACTTCCCGTTCAACCATCACAAATCTCAAACATCTAGATAATGAAACCACTATTCATGCTATTTCAGAAGAACACATGCTGGTCATGTCAACGGACACAGTGCAAAACCCAAGAATGTGTATGCAACCAGAATGTTCAAAATTGTCATTGAGAAACCATCGCTCTCTTACACTAGATGGAAATTGGAAATCCTGCAGGGATGATTGGTGTGCTTTGGACATAACAGTCTAACGATGGAGCCCTTTGCAATAGAAACTATGCTGCAGGGTTATTTCCAAAATGCATGGCGTTATATAGAGTACAACCGCATATGGGGACATAGACTGTAGTGACGTGGTGAGGCTTTAAAATCGTTGTAATGTAGCGTACTCAACCCTCTGTATCAACAGTTAAGCTACTGACACATATCTTGAGTGTGATATGTTTGAGACACGTTGTTTGAATGATAAAAATCAGTATACAAGTATATTTCAAAACTTTTCTCACCGGTCCTCTTTTCCTCGTGATTAACAGCATTCCACAGTTTCAGACGATCTTCAGGGTCAGTTATCTGAACAAATGACGTAACGTAAATTACAATTCACACAGAAAAAGAAAAGATAATTGAAAATATATATGTATAGAAGATTATATAAAATCGTCTCATTTTTAAGAAATATAATGTACAATTTACATGTAAAATGATATTTTCACAGTATTTTTCAATATTGTATAATTATTAAGCATAGTATAACACAGAAGCACGTTACATTCTATACAAATATAGTAATTATAACACAGAAACAATCAAATAAGACTTAACACTCTTTATATAGACATATATTGACTGTTACACCAAAACAAACACCTGACGTTTAACACTTTATAAACACGTAGACGTTATAGTACAGAAATATAACAGTTAACGCATGTATCGGTTATCCTAAGCTATAGCTAAACGGACAACAGCCAATTATTAAACAAATAATTTGCTACTTTAAATTTCAAGGGATGTAAAACATATTAGGTTATACAGAAATAATCAGCTGGAATAATAACAAAGATTATAAATATAAAATTCTAGGACGTTTTACCGACCCGTTGATGGTTAATGGTATGTTAACATCAGACTAGAACGTTTTACCAACCCGTTGATGGTTAATGGTATGTTAACATCAGACTAGGACGTTTTACCAACCCGTTTATGGTTAATGGTATGTTAACATCAGACTAAGACGTTTTAGCAACCCGTTTATGGTTAATGGTATGTTAACATCAGACTAGGACGTTTTACCAACCCGTTTATGGTTAATGGTATGTTAACATCAGACTAGGACGTTTTACCGACCCGTTGAT